CAAGTTCGATTTCTTGCACAGACAAATTCAGCAATGGGACCAAAAAAAGAGATTGCACATTAATTAATCTATGTATGTATAAGAGAAAATAGTTATATGTTATGCACTAATAGAACTATAGAAAAGTAGTAAACCCATTTTTAAATAGTATAAAAACGGGGACACGCTGATAATTTTTTATTTTAAAAAAGGACAAAAACGTAAAAAAATCCGTTAATCAAATTCTTTAAGGTAGTGTTTGGTTGAAGGTTTATGTTAGGATTGATGGGAAAGTGTAGGTAGATATTGGAAAATATCATGTTTGGTTCAGGTTTTTTCAAGAAATACCAGACAAATAGGATAGATGGGAAAATGACTTTTGTGTTGATTTTTGGATGAAATTCACTGTTACAGAATACCACTTGAGATGTAGTGTTGTGAGATGACTGGGGAAGTGAAAAAACAGGTACAAAGTTTCTCCCGACCATAGATTTTGCATATTTAAATAAATTTCTTTGGTAATATTTGGGTCAACCAAATAACTTTTTTTACATTTTTTCTATCAAACTCACCTTCCAACCATTTTCCTATCAATTACATTTCCCTAGTAAAATTTTTTTTCTCCCGAACCAAACACTGTCTAAAAGCTATAAAAATGGGAAGAGTGTGTATCTTTTTAAAGGCTTCTATGTCCTTTTAGAAAAGACGAAGAAACAAATTTAAAGAAAAGAGAGTTGAGAAAAAAATTTATAATTTGAAAAAACACATTTCATTTATCTAAAAGACAAATCATAAACCGTATAAAAATTTGCATTGAAGAATTATTTAGAGGTTGTAGGACTGCAAGGGAAGCAAAAAATCTTGCGTCAGGTTCAATGGATTTTTCCAGAGTGGGACTGGATTAAGCTGAATGTTGACGGAGCTTTCCGAGACAGTGCTGGACGTTGGCTTGGAGGTTTTTCTAGGAATCTGGGCAGTGGAAAATTTCCATTAGAGCTGAGCTATGGGGCTTTGTCACTGGCCTGGAGTTGGCATGGCGGAGGGGACTTACCATTAGTAAAAACTCCTCTCTCTTTTTTCCTGTGTGTTTCTTTCTTTTAATGTTTGAAACTCTGAATCTCGCCTGCTACCGCTTTACTTCTGGGTTTTGCTTTGAACTGGTAAATGGTAATATAAAGAGACAGAAAATAAGGGATTTGCTCGCTTTAAAGTTATTTGGACCATTATATTTCTATTATACTTGTCATTTTACCTGCATTGCAAGGGGAGTTGCTGACTATATAATCAGTGAAAGCTAAAAGAGGAACATTGGATATACTTGTATGTAAGCTATTGCATAAAGGTTATCATAGGAATGTGGGGAAAAAAAAAATATCAACCAAATTGAATTATGAGTATATTTAAACCATATCAAAATAATTATTTTTTTTAATTGATTCAAGAATCATATTGTTTTTTCAAAACCTATTCAGTTCATGTATCAATTCGGTTCAATTTTTAGGAACCAAATTATATCTTCTCTTAAAGAATATAAAAAACAAAAAAAAAAAACAAATGAATCCAACCAATCCGCTAATTAAACGGAGCCAGAAACGATAATTAAACGGAGTCATATTATATTTTTTAAACCGATAACGATTTAAGAAACCGAATTATTTTCTGTGAAGCAGCAATTCAAAAATTAAACTATTTTTAAAATCGATTCAAACATATCAAACCAAATTACTTTTCTGATTTAGTTCGATTTGATATAGAAAACCGTACAAAATGGATGACATTGAAGCAGCCATTGGGGAACTTCCACCAGTAACCGACAATTAAAAATCACTTATTTATGGAAAAGTACATTAACAAATAATAATATAATGCAAAGGTTAAGATTAAAAATTATGCAAATCAAAAAAAGTATCTTGTTATCCAAAAAAAAAAAAAAAGTATCTCAGTTTCATTTGCTTGTTATATGAAATTTCATAATTTTGGAAAGGAAAAATATTTACGAGAATTCAATTTTTATGTTGTGACCTTTCGATTTGCGAGTAAAAATTTTCTTTTCTTTTTTATTTTTAATAAATATGGGGCCCACCACTAGTTGAGTCACAACATAAAAATTCAATTCTCATGCAACATGAAAAAATCAAACCCCTTTAGAAAATTGAAACATCCATAAACAATTGGGGAAGATTATATTTACACACTTTTGTTTACAAACTATATTATGTCTTACCGATAAGATACTCTTGAGTGAAGTCTTAACCGATAAAACATAGAGTAGTTTGTAAAAAAAAAATTGTCAGTATAACCTTCCTCTAAGAATATATATATATACATATATACATATATATATATATATAGGAGTATATATTTCTGCAGCTGCTGTACGTGCAAAATATTAAATGCTAAGAATCATAATTATACAAAAGATGAAAGCATTAAATGTGGGAAATCATAATCATACACCTGTCGTTGTTGTACGTAAAGCGGCTGCAGAAATGATTTTACCATATATATATATATATAGGTAGGATCCTTTGACACCAGTGTCAAATTTGAAGTTTGACACCTCATCTGAGAGCCGTTAAATAAAAAAAATCAACTACTTTGATTTGTAAGCATGTGACATCATTGATCTTTTTTGATCTAATGGCTACCAGATGAGGTGTCAAATTTCAAATTTTGACACCGGTGTCAAAGGCTTCTGACCCATATATATATATACATATGTCTAACAGGTAAAATCATTTTTACAGCCGCTTTACGTACAGCAACGACAGATGTATGATTATGATTCCCTCATTTAATGCTTTCATCTTTTGTATGGTTATGATTCCTCGCATTTAAAACTTTCAAGTATGTATATGACAAGTATTTGATTGCCGCAGAAATGTAATCCCCTATATGACACCGGTGTCAAACTTTGAAATTTGACACCAAATACTAATCATTGATTTCCGCCAATCAACGATTATCATTTATTGAGAATCAAACTTATTAATTAACTATTAATTCCCAATAAATAATAACCATTGATTGACGAAAATCATCGATTATGATTTGGTGTCAAATTTCAAAGTTTGACATCGGTGTCAAAATATCCAATCCCTATATATATATATATATATATATATATATATATATATATATATATATATATATATATATATAGAGGAAGGTTATACTTACAACTTATTTTTTACAACCTCTTACAACCATATCTTAACACCGTTGATTTCTGCCAATCAACGGTTATCATTTATTGTGAATTAATAATTAATTAATGAGTTTAATTTGTGAAAATCATAACCGTTGATTGACGGAAATCAACGGTGTTAAGTTATGGTTGTAAGAGGTTGTAAAAAAAAAGTTGTAAGTATAACTTTCCTCTATATATGTATATATATATATATGGGTGTGGAAAAAACATTTCTCAAGCAGCTTGAGATAATTTTATCTCCGGTTATCCCAAAACTACGCCATTTTATTTATTTATTTTCTTATATTAATTGATTCACATTTGAATGGTTATGATTCCTTTTTTCTCTCCCTTCCTTTATCACCATTGATCTATCTCTGTTCTGTTATGATTTAGTAGCCGGAGATAAAATTATCTCAAGCAGCTTGAGAAACGATAAGCCAAATGTTTTTCCCACACACACATATATATATAGGGAAAGATATATTTACCACCAAAAAAGTATACAACATTTACAACTAACCTAGTCATCATTGATTTCCGTCAATGTAACGGTTATAATTAATTATTAATTCTCAATAAATTATAACCGTTAAATTGACGAAAATCAACGGTGATTAAGTTGGTTGTAAAGGTGGTAAACTTTTTTGGTGGTAAGTATATCATGCCCCTATATATATTATATATAGGGATAGGTTATTCTGCCTACCTTTATTTTGCCTATCTTTGCCTACCTCTTTCAATACCGTTAGATTACAATCTCATCCAATGATGGAGATTTATGATATAAAATAAATTCTTTTATCCCTTTCTCTCTCCTATTGTCTCTCTCTTTCTCTCTCCTCCCTTTTCTCTCTCTTCAAAGGCGCTTCAGCATCAAAGAAAGGTGCAAGCTTTTTCTCAAATCATCCAACCCAGTCATTGTTATAAGCATTTACATAAAAAATTGAAATGAGGTGTCAGGAAGAAACAAACTCAAATGTCCTATATTATGGAACCAGATAGCCTATTGTTGGGCGTAACATATATCATTTCCCCACTTTAAGGTGAAAAACAAGATAAGAACGAGATAAGTTGATTCGATTTCAAATTTCAACAACAAAGTAGAAACCTTACGATAATAGTGAACATTACGGTAATCGTGGATTAATTCAAAAAAATAAATTATTCGTGTTTTTTTTTTTTAATTTATAATGTATTCAATTATATCATATTCAAAAAAAATTAAAATATCATTAATCATTATCAATTATACTCATCCAGCATAACTATCATGCAATTAATCACCCACTAAAACAAGATTCAAATTCACTAAAAAACAAAATACCCAAAAAAAACTCACCAAAAATATAGATTTCACCTAAATAAATGCTGATAAGAGCATTATATAGCCACGTGTGGGTTGACGAAAGGGTCCCACAAATAGACCCCTCAAAAATGAAAATTCGAGCTTCAAAGATCTCATGAGGTACAGGAGCTATAAATGAAGCGCAGAAAGATGATTAAAATTTAAAAAGAAATAAAGGAACAAACCCTCACCATTTGTGTTTATATGTTTCTGTTTCTGTTGTAACCTCCATCTATCGCTCACACTTTTTTCCCAGCGTCCTCTCTTTCGTTCTCTTCCCTCTCCACACGTTCTGCTGCCAGAACTCTAAAGCTACGTGCTATCGTCCAAAGTAGGTAAAAAAAAAAAATACCAGATCTCATTGCTCTCGCCGGAAGCCGTTTGCATGAAAATTCTTGCGTTTCAAATGGCATGATCTTTGTGCTGTTCTTGCAACCGATTGAAGGCTTCCTTCTGAAACTGTAGCTTACAATCTAATCTAGCATGGATTCCATCTTTAGCGACAATGTAGTGCCAGACGCTTCGCATTTCTCCGTCGCGATCTACTTGGCTTTTGCTTGTTTCGGGGCCAGGTTCTTCCTTGACAGATTCGTCTTTCGCGTAAGATCCTTTGTTTGTGTAGCTATATTCTTGTTCCTCTGCCGATTGGATTCTTGTGTTGTGATGTGAATAGCCTGTTTCTATTTTGTTAAGAGTTTTTTTTTTAAAAAATAAAATAAAATTTAAACAGCTTTGTTCTGGTTTCTGGTTGTTTTCTTGATTCTCTTTTTAAGGTTCTTTGAAAGAAACTGCAAAAAGTTCCTCAAAACTGTTTGCTTTATTAATAATTCAGCTCAAGTTCTTGTTGATCGGTGTCAGTTTCCTAGAAATTATTCAAATTAGTTAAAGGATCTTTAAGTTGACCTGTCAATTGAAGTTAATCACGCAATTCATGATTGACGCATCAAGGTCCTTAACGATATTGTTATTGGTCCTTCTCATTTTTGAGTTAAAGCTGTGCATTGATTTTCATTGATCCTTCTCATTTCTGTTATTGGTCCTTTTTGATATTTAAGAGGTATTAGCTTATATATGACAAAATATATGGTTCACATTTCCTCTCATGTTCGGACGTAGATTGTCATTGGCAGTTTCCGGTATTGTCAATTGATGAATCAATAAGTGTGCCTTTTGCTCATTTTCTTTCTTTCTTCTTTTGACTCAATTCTTCTCGTGAATATAATATCATAGTTGTTTTATGGTTTCATCCTCTGTTCTCTTTAATATCAACCGTGCATTTTAGTTTGTTGGTATAGGATTTTAGAAGAATATCCCTATTCTCAAAATATGCGGAAAAGCATGCTGTAAACAATAATATTTTGTTGTGGCTGGTAGAGAACAGTTTAGCAAATATGAAGATAAGTAGGATCTACCTTTGTCAATCTTGAGACTGGACTTTGACAAATATCATTTTGGTTTTCTTCATCTGTTGTCATGTGAAGAAAATACCTTAGCATAGCAATATCTCATAATGGCTTTTCAGGACGATAGGTTAAATATTTTCTAGCAATGCACATCAGCAAGGATGATCAAGGACTCTTAATGGCATAAACTTGATAATTTTATGACCAATCTTCTATGGTTGAATTCATTTAATTAGGATGAAGAATTTTAGTGCCATTTTTTTAAGCAGATTCCTTTATTCATATTCCTTAAATGATTTTGTTGCATACAGAGGTTGGCCATCAGGCTGTTGGCAAGGGGTAGGGCTCCTTCACGGATTACCAAAGAAATGCAAATAAAGATTGGAAAATGTACAGAGTCATTGTGGAAGCTAACATACTATGCTACAGTTGAAGCATACATTCTCAAAATTATTTACCATGAACCCTGGTTCAGTAATACGAAATTATACTTAAAAGGCTGGCCAAATCACGAGTTGAAGTAAGTAACTTATGTAGCATGATGAACAAATTCAGTCTTGTTAATACAAATGTTTCTCCCATATAATGAATGACATGCATCTGTTTGTGTTTGTGTTTCTTAGGAAGACCTCCACATTGACCCTTTGTTTTAAAATTTCTCATACAGTTCAGATCTAAACTGAATTTCATAGTTCATAGATCTGGCTTCGCATGCAGCAACTGGTATGGAAAAGAGAAAATTGAGTTTAGGAGAGGTTATTAGAAACTGAAAATTGGGCCTTTGTCCTTTTTGGTTTGAAAAATTCTAGAGCCCTAATTTAGTTTTTGATTTTGATATACAACTGAGTGAAAATGAAAAATAAATTTCAAGAGTTTTCAAAGCAATAAACAGATATATGCCTCCCTCCATTATGGACAATTCATATAACTATATTATTGGGTTTATAGACTCTGATTAATTTAGCTCCTTGCTTCCTCTGACTGGAAGTCATAGGTTGCTATCTGGTTCCATACACAATCAAGTCAACTCACTTGGGGAGAACTTATAATTGTGCTCGGGAAGGAAATTATAAGACTATTGTACTCATATTTGAGTTTTTCTGTAGATAGAAGTTGGTATTTATATTGCATCCTGTTTCATTTCTTATCCCAGGAGTCCCCTTGTGATTTACTATATGTGCGAATGTGGGTTCTACATCTATAGCATTGCTGCTATTCTGACATGGGAAACTCGAAGGAAGGATTTTGCAGTGATGTTTACTCACCATGTAATTACAGTTTTACTGATTGGGGGCTCATATCTGACAGGGTAATATATATTAGCATTATTTTTTAGTTGAAGTGTTTACCATGCCAGTCCTACTTATACCTTAAATTTGGAACTTAATTATTATTTTTTTGTTATTTTAAATAAGCATGAAAACTCTCACGTGGTGGCTCATATTTGATATTCATTACTGAGAACACAACTCAAATCAGCTCTAGGGAGTTTCTAACTTTTTATATGTTATAGAATTTTGGACTCTCCTTTATGCATAACTGTAGGTAATGTGCTTGAAACCAATAAATTTTAAGTCTGAGTTTGGACATTTCTTGGATGGTTCTTTAACCAGTGTATTTTCTTGAAATTTCGTTCTTTACTTTCTTTAAATTAACTGGATGGTGGATCCATTTAATCATGTCCTTCTGAGAGTTACTTTTGGTTGTATGAAAAAGAAAATGATAATTGTATTACATAGCCTTCTTGTATTTATGCCATATGATAAAGTTTCCGTTTTTGTAAAATATATTAAACATGTATTCTTTCTTGAAACTTCTAGATGCCCTTAGTTATGTTAGAACATTAGTGCAAGTTGAGTTGAATTTTGTGCAACATTTTTGTGGCAGTGGCATGTGTTACATTTGTGACCCCTCTGTGTAATGTTCAGATTGCAATACGATTGCAGTACAATAAGACTATCCATTGTCCATACTCAACAGCTATATATGTCTTGGATTTGAGTCTCTGTAAATGCTCAGAAACTGTAATAGAATTGATAAATGCTTGTTAAATCCTCCTTTTCTATAATTGATTAGAGCGTTCTTTCTGTCTGCTATCTTCTTCAACTTTTTGCTATATCGGGTATTGTGATTTAGATAATCAAAATTTCAAAACTGACATTACAATCAAGACAGTGATTTATGAAGGGATAACTAACACAAGCTGCATTTACAGTTTTTTCAGGATTGGCTCCATAATCCTAGCCCTTCATGATGCAAGTGATGTATTCTTGGAAGCTGCCAAGGTTTTCAAATATTCTGGAAAAGAGTTTGGTGCAAGTGTGTGTTTTGGATTATTTGCAATTTCATGGCTCATACTGCGGCTAATTTTCTTTCCTTTTTGGGTTATTAAAGCAACAAGGTTTGTTTTTTTATTTTATTGATTCATTTGACTTTGTTTTGGGAGACACTTATTAATCATATTTTCTCATCAACGGGTTTCCACTTTCCAGCTTTGATCTTGTGGAGTGCTTAAACCTATCACTGAGTTATCACATGTTCCTTTACTATGTGTTTAACACATTGCTTATAATGCTGCTCATCTTCCACGTATACTGGTGGATGCTCATATTTGCAATGATTAATAGGCAGCTGAAAAATAGGGGAAAAGTTGGTGAGGATATTAGATCAGGTAAGCAAACTTCATCAATAATTTGAGTATATTATTAGTATTCTATTACTCTTTTGTTCAGGAATCATGAATGAATAGTTTAAGAAATTCTGAATTTTGAAAATATGAGCTTGCCTGGAGCACACAATATAAAAAAATTACTTTTGTGCATAATGTTTATTATTCCTGTATCTTGAGGGATGCCAATAGCCTCTTTACCCATAATTAAATGGTTCAGACCTCAGAAGAAAATGTAACCTGGGGAGATTGGCTTATTGTTAGATATATAATGTGCGATCGAGGATCAAGGTTAGGGGTATGGAGCTGCATATTCCTAGCCATATACCTCTCAGTTTATGCTATGCTTACGATTATTCTCCTCTCAATCAATGTGTTGGATTGGTTAAATCACGGTACTTAATCCTTTACTGTCATTTGTTAATAGCTATGATTGCTATTACCGATGTATCTAGTTCTTGCGCACAGTTTACAGCATCTACAGCTCTTTACTTTTGTTGTCTTGGGTAATGTTAGAAGGTAGAGTGCAGAAAGCTGAAGAAAAGTTGAGTAACAAAATTCATTTAATCACTTTCTTACGCACAGGTGCACACAGTTTTATACAAATGAAATACAACTATATATCTATGCATAAGCAAAACGGTTATAACAACCTGTGAAGTGGCATTACATTACATGAAAGTAAGAAAATAAAAAATAAAAATAAAGAAGTAAATTTCTACACAAATATAAGTCTAATACTCTCCCTCAAGATCGAGAGTAAATATTATGAACCCCATCTTGGAAAGAAGAGTGTGAAACTGTGTAGGATGGAGAGCCTTTGTAAGGATGTCAGCCAATTGTTGAGAAGAAGGAACAGAGAAAGTTTGAAGTCTTCCTTTGGATGAAATACACCTATATATCTATGAATAAACAAAACGGTTATAAAAACCTGTGAGGTGGCGTTACATTACATGAAAGTAAGAAAATAAAGAAGTAAATTTATACACCAATATAAGTAATACTCCCCTCAAGATCGAGAGTAAATATTATAAACTCCCATCTTGGAAAGAAGAGTGTGAAATTGTGTAGGATGGAGAGCCTTTGTAAGGATGTCAGCCAATTGTTGAGAAGAAGGAACAGAGAAAGTTTGAAGTCTTCCTTTGGTAATATGTTCCGAACAAGATGACAATCGATCTCTATGTGTTTAGTGCGCTTATGAAAAATAGGATTCATTTAATCACTTTCTTATGCACGGTCACGCACACAGTTTTGTACAAATGGAATGCACATATATATCTATGAATAAGCAAAACGGTTATAATATGTGAGGTGGCATTACATTACATGAAAGTAAGAAAAAAAAAAAAAAATGAAGTAAATTTATACACAAATATAAGTTTAATAGGTAAATATGTACTTGTATAGCTGAAGGAGTCTATTTCTTTGTTTATTTTTTTTGCAGATTCAGATGATGATTGAATAGCTGAAGGATTTTGTTGAGTTTTCTTTGTTGCGCTGGTTGGTGTTAGCTCTGCAGATACTGCTTTTGACTTGTCTGTAGATTTCTAGGAGTTCAGTTGAGCAATGCAACTGATTGAAGAGAGCTAAAATTTCGATAGTTTCAAATTTTTCATTGATTATTGAGTAAAAAGGAAGTAGGGAAACCGTTGAGCGTATTTTAATTCACATATTTTTGCTGTATAAATGATAGGCATTCCTGTATAATTATTTTTTTTCTCCAAACAAACCCTTTTAGGTTAGCCAGAGATTGAATGAAAAGTAGAGAATATGGAAAAGGAAAAGAAATCTTTTGAAGTGACTTCTTTTTATTTATAACTTCTCCTACATAGTAAGTGCGGATAATTTGTGTTTCCCATTTTAATATTATAATTGAAGTGATATATATATATATATATATATATATATATATATATATATATATATATATATATATATATATATAAGTCAAGATCATTTTACACCAGTATAAGTTACATTTTTAATCTTGACCATTGATCCAACTTATATCTAAGGGCTCTAATGTTTTAGTAAAGTGAGCTATTAGATACAAATAGATCAATGATCAAGATTGAGTGTAAGACTTCTAACTCTTACACTGGTGTAAGAATATTTTGCCCTTATATATATATATATATATATATATATATATATATGAGAAAAACATATATGATATTGTTTTTCTCATGTTGCATATAAGAAAAACAATTTTTCACACACATATATGGAAGAGAGAGGAGAGAGAATAAGGGAGAGAAAAAAAAAATTAAAATAGATTCCAAGTTGAATTTGTATCCAATGCATAAGATAATAATGTGATGTAATATGAGATTATTATTTCCCATATTTATATATAGGGTTTGGTGTTTGTACTTTTAAAGAATATGAAGGTACGTTATTTTAAGTAAGAGAAAGACACAAGTAATGAAAATTATAGAAGAGAAATTGAGTTATTTTTTTTAAAATTTAAATTTAAAAAAAAAATTAGTTTGTGTCTTTCTCTCACTTAAAATGACATAACTTCATGTCTTTTAAAAGGACAAATATTTTTCTCATATATATATGTGTGTGTGTGTGTGCGCGCGTGTGTGTGGATCAAGATTATTTTATATCGGTATAAGACTAATAAATCTTATATCACATCTCAACAGTTGATTTTCGTGCATCTAACAATTATAATTTAGGAAGTCATACGAATTAATTAATCATTAATTACACTACAAATACCAACCGATGATTTTCTTCCATCAACGGTTGAGATATGGTGTAAGATTTGTTAGTTGTCTTACACTGGTGTAAAAAGAATATGCCCACATACACACACACACACACACAGGATTTCTCCAGTCAATGGAAATAAGTTATCTCCAGTGAGCCCAAAACGACGTCGTTTTGGGGCGAAAATCAATGTATTTTGTAATTATAATATATTGCAGGGTTATATTAGTCTTTATCATTATAATTTTTTAATCTTATTACCCAAAACGACGTCATTTTGAGCTCACTGGAGATAACTTTATCTCTGGTGACTTGAGAAATACTTTTCTCATATATATATATATATATATATATATATATAAAGTAAGATTTATTGACACCAGTATCAAATTTAAAGTTTGAAACTTCATTTGAGAGCCATTAGATCAAAAAGATCAACGACTCTGATTTGTAAGCATGTGACACCATTGATCTTTTTTTATCTAACGGCTCTCAGATGAGGTGTCAAACTTTAAATTTGACACCGGTGTCAAAAGATCCTATATATATATGGGGTAGGATCATTTGACACCAGTGTCAAATTTGAAATTTGACACCTCATCTGATAGCCGTTAGATCAAAAAAGATCAACGACTCTGATATACAAGCATGTGACACAATTGATCTTTTTTGATCTAATGACTCTCAGATGAGGTGTCAAATTTTAAATTTGACACCGTATATATATATATATATATATATATATATATATATATATATATATATATGAGTTGGATATGAGTGAAGATTATTTCTTTCTTTCTTCTAAAATATAAACTCCATGAAAATGTTATTTTGTTATTTATTTTACGGGAAATCATTTTCTCATGTTGTTGAAGATTGTTTTCTCATGTTGTGAGGTATCGAAATCCGTGTTATCTTCTTTTTAATTTTTATTTTTTTAACAAGTTGTGGGACCTACCACTTGTTGTGTCTATAGCATGAGAGATGTTATCTCATGTGACATGAGAAAAGAGAAACCCTTATTTTACTCTTTAATAACTTCATCTTCTTCCCCAACCGGTTCAAATGGGATACCGCATTGCATATTATTTATTTTAGCAATTTAAATTTATGTAATTTATAATTTTACACTTTATATTTCAGCAATTTATATTTTCGCCATATATATATATATATTGATTTATAATTCAACAATTATATCCAAGTGTGGTGGCTCAGTTGGTAGCATGAGGATTGAGTGGTGGGAGAGGACCTCGGTTCGAATCCCACCAACACCATCTGGGGAGGGGCATAAGTACTGTAATCCTTAGACTCGCACCCGAACTCTGGATTAGTCCTATAGGCGGCTCAAAGAGTCGAACCCGTGGGGATACCGGGAGTTCTGATTCGCCTCGAAGAGGTAATTAGGATCAGTTTCCAAAAAAAAATAAAAATTCAACAATTATATTTTTGCAATTTATGTTATTTCATATTATAAGTATATATATATATAGAGGCAGGATCCTTTGACACCGGTGTCAAAGAAAAAGTTTGACACCTCATCTGAGGACCATTAGATTAAAAAAAATCAATGGTGTCACATGTTTACAAATCAGAATCGTTGATTTTTTTTAATCTAACGGTCCTCAGATGAGGTGTCAAACTTTTTCTTTGACACCGGTGTCAAAAGATCCTGCCTCATATATATATATATATTAATTTATATTTAAGCATATCAAGAATTTTATAATGGGAGTTACTAATCTTATGTTGCTTGAGACAGTTCTCTTATGTGTGAGATAAATATGTGGGGTTAACACTTAAAAATAAAAGGAAAAAAAATGGAAAAAGTTGTCACAAAATTCGATAAGTGTATAACATAAGAGAGCTATCTCCAACGAAACGAGAAAAATATTTTCCTTTTATAATTTATAATTACCATTTATGTGTATAGTAACATATAAGTGAATAATGCCATATATGTAATAAACATGGTACAATTTCAAGGTCTTTAAGCGAGTCCTCTGATTGAAAAGGTCGATAGATCCAATAATTATAATGCTCCTTGCTCAATGTTCTCTGTTTCACAGATTTTCGTTGTGTTTAGATTTGCGATGATGTCTTTGGTTCCATCCAAAATCAAAATTGTCATTCATAGACTTTTCGCTCGACATCAGTGGTCCAGATCGAAAGAAGATCACAGTGGAAGCTACGCCCTTATTCTCGACAACGAATAAGGTCTTCGTATGTGAGCTGTCTCGTGCCTGTCCCTTTGTTCCTGCAAAGGTCCAGAACCACCCTCTGTTTACAGACGCAAAAGTTTGGAGATTTGAGGAAAGTGTCCTTGTATTATCCCGCACCAACACCAATACACGGTACCACACACCACACACCACACGTTCCTTAATTTTAAAAATTGTCATATTTGAATACGTTAAGACATATTTTTGATATTAAATGATATTTTTAATATATATAATATAATTTATATTTAATACATAAAACAGTCCACAATAAGTCATATAACTAATTAAATATTTAAATTTCATAGCATAAATATAAAGCAAAAGTAATTTTTGATATCTTGTTAATTTTTTAGGGTTTGCTTTTTCTGCAATAATTGCAGATAAGTTATCTGCAATACGACGTCATTTTAAGGCGGAAATCATAATGCTTTGAAATCACGTGTCGGTGCATTCTAGATTATTCGTCTACTGAACTTTTTAAATCATAATTGGGCCTAGGCCCATTTTGCCGCTGCAGTGCATTTTGTGCATTAATGTGCTTGAATTAGTATAGCCCATTTTTATGAAGCCTAAAGTAATAGCCCATTATCTTGAACTGACTCCTTTATGCCATGGATGATGGTCGATGGATGGAGCATTCAGTTTAGCTTCAATAATTTTTGCCACCCTTCATGGCGCACGCGATGTCCGTTGTATTGTGCCCATGAGAATATTTATCCTTTATCCTGATCCAATCGAAGGGTTCTTCCCATCAAAAATAGTACTTCTGTGTTTCCTTCCGTTCTTCCATGAGAATATTCTTCATCAGCCTTTTAACAAGGTTCAGATTTCACTAATCCCCCTATTGTAACCTAGTTAATTTGTGCCCTTGCCCTTATATGAAATCCTAGTCACCGTATATGTATCATTTATTCTGACCACTCTCTTACTTCTTATGGTTATATTTTAATTTTAGCAAATTGGCTATAAACTTAAAAATTCATCTAATCATTAAGCATATTTTTTTTGGATATTTTTTTTTTTGGATACTAGTAACAACAATCATTAAGCATATTTTAACTTTATTCTTTAAGATAGTATTTGTAGTTATAGCTTTAAAATAATTTTTAAGCTAAAAAAATTGGATGAAACTAGCTAAATCTAGTTTTACACAAATACATATACGAGAGAAATTGAATAAATTATGAAGAAGAAACAAAACATGTTTTTAAAGTTAAATAAAAACAAATATTATTCATAACTTGATATATTCAAATTATAGAATTATTATCATGAAAACATTTTTTTAATTAATTATCATATCTGATCCATAATTTACACGATTTATTTTTTTACCTAAAAATTAAAATAAAAACGCACGCACAAAAAACAATGTATAAAAACATAAATAAAGGAAAATATATGATATAGTTAAAGGGTTTTATAAGAGTTATGTTATAGGAAAAGTGATTGTGTAATGTTATAGAGATTCGTTTTGCGTGCCTTAATTTTTTATTTATTTTTTTGTTTTAAAAAGTGTGGGCCCCACAAATTGTTGTGAGGGTAGGAAAGTTTGTTGTGTTATGTTAAATGATAAAATAAAAACCCATAGTTAAAAGAGAATTACGGGGGGTAAAAAAATAAAAAGTAACTCATCATCCTTTCGCCGCTTCTCAATCAGTCAATTGCATTTTCTTATTTGGTCATGTCCCAAGCTGCTGCTAAATGCCAATAAATAATCTACTACAGGCAGCCTTAAACCCAGTATGATCCGCCGCGTTGACCTAGAGTTTTTTTTTTTGGTACATGCGGATCTCGAGTAAAGTATTTGATCGGATATGCATTGAATTCGGTCAAAATTCGGCCATCGGTTGGGTCATATATTTTTTATAAAAAAATAAAAATTTATTTCACCTTGTCATAAAAAAAATATGTAAAACTTATTTAAAATTTTTTGTAATTTTATTTACTAGTAGCAGTGGCGGACTCAGAAAATTTTCTTTATGTCTACACACTCAAGGCGGGGGTTCGAGGGTGCCGCCCCCTATTTTTTTTTAAAGATCATAATCATGATCTAATTTTTGCTTCCACTTCAAAAGTAAAACTTTAGTGAATTAACCAAAGTTTCAAGGAAATAATCGATAATGATAATTAACAATAAATAAACACCACAAAAAGATATTTGTAAAATACAATATAATTGTAGGGGTTAATCGATTAAAAACTCACTTTTGTCGATGTCTATTTGATCCAAAGTTGACCAGTTTTATTTCATTAAAAAACATGAAAAATCCTGTGTGATTCTCCTCCGGTTCACTCTTATCTTTTTCTTTTTAATCTTCCTATTTTTTTTACTTAACTTGAATCACACACCCTATGTAATTTTTTTTTCCTCCTCAACTTTATGTCTGCAAGTGCAGACAATAAAACTAACCTAGGTCTGCCAGTGACTAGTAGTATACTCTTCTACAATGACCTTAGCTTCCAATACTTGAAGCAATTTGCAGAACAATAAATTAAGAAAATTGTGACATATGTCACTTTAGCCTAGATGAATTTGAAAAATATGAGTTTATAATATTTGACTTTTTGAATGTCCTTGAGAGATATGTTTATGAGAATTCTAGGTTGCAATTTAAATTGACATACTAATAGCATGCACTTTCATTTATTTGTGCTTTATTAACTTGTAAAAGTGTGATTGGATAATTTTTAAGCTTATTTAATGAACCTTGTTTAACTCATTTTAGATATGGAGAATATAATTAAATGTATATGTTCATATTTATATATATCTGAGTCAACTGATCCAACCAGTGACCCAATGACCTAATATCCCGACCGGGTCGGGTCGAGTTTAACAACACTAACTAGAGGTGGCAAAATGACTCAATTGAGTTATTTAGGCCATCTCGCCTAGCCTGCCAATTTGTTAGGCTAAATTTTTATTCTTTTTTAGTGTAAAATGAATTAGATCTGACGGGCTAAATTATTCAACTTATTTTTAAAAGTAGAATGGGACAGGTCAGCCCATTTTTTGGCAAGCTCATGGCGAGGAGCCCACCTTACCACATATTATATAAGATAGATTTTTAGTAATATTTGTTGATAATTTATAAATTTATCTTATTTTGTATTCATTAAAGTAATTAATAATGAAAATATGTGAAATATTAATAAATATGAATACAAACCGTTTTATCTAGATACTATTTATACACAAGAATGACAAAGTTTGGCATCCGAAGGAGTAACGTAAGTTACCCATGCGGTCCTATATTTTAGGTCAAAACTCATTCAAGTCAACTGAACGAACTCTCCTATCCTGTTGCTTTCATTCCCCCTGATATTCTTTGTTGTGTTCTCAGCAAAGAAAAATGCCAAGTTACCAAAAAAAGATAAAATGCCACAGAACGCATTATTTTACTTTTTTATTAAATAAAGCTCTAATTTTATTCATATAATGTAACTTTAAATTATTCAATAAAAATACAAAATTTTATTTAATAATTAAAAATATTTAAAATAAATAAATATGTTGATAATCCGACGTGACATCTGATCTTTGTGTGACCGTCCAAAAGACCCTCCACGTCACACACCTGATCCAACCAGTCTCTGTTCTGGACTCAACTCCAAAGAGGCAAAGACATTAAATGCCCCACGTGACTAAAAAAGACCAAGCTAGCTAGCTATCCTTTGACATAAGAAAAGTTAAAATCCGTGTGTGAACGGTGTACACAGCTGGAGCTTCACTGGCCACGTCACCCCCAAACCGTATATAAACCTCTACCCTCTGACCCTTCACTTCCAAACTTCAAAATTTCAAAACCTTCGACACGCAAAACACAAGACCAACGAACAAACAAACAACCTACGAGTACTCCCCACTCTGCAGTTTGCAAACATGTCCTCCTCCTCCTCCTCCAACCGCCTAACCACCGAGCAAGAACTCTCCGTCATAGTCGCCACCCTAACCAACGTCGTCGCCGGCTCCACCGATTTTATCCGCTTGCCGCAAACAACATCCGAGCCCGCCGTCGGAAGCAGCCTAGTCACCACCGTGAACGTGGAAACTTGCCGCGAATGCAAAATCGCGGGGTGTTTGGGGTGCAATTTCTTCCCCGAAGAGAAGAAGAAGCAGAAGAGGGCAAAGAAGAAGTACAGAGGCGTGAGGCAGAGGCCGTGGGGGAAATGGGCCTCGGAGATCCGTGACCCGAGGCGTGCGGCTCGGGTCTGGCTCGGGACCTTCAACACGGCTGAGGAAGCCGCCATGGCTTACGACAAAGCCGCCATCGAGTTCCGCGGGCCCCGAGCCAAGCTCAATTTTCCGTTGGTCGATGAGTCGCTGAGTTTGCCGCAACCGCAGCCAGAGACGGTTGCGACTGCAGAGCCGACGACACAAGATGTTAATTTGAATAATCAGGGAATTGAAATGGACACAATGGGATTTGGGAACAAGGAAAACGAATTCTGGGATAGGATTTCCGATGCTGATTTTCAACAATTCATGATGACGATGGATTTTGCTCCCGAACCACTCTTTGTTCCTAAGTTCTCTTAATTCAAAATAATTAGTTTTTAGTAATGCGTGTTTTAAATGTACAACTCTGCTTAGCGTAAGCTTCACTAGATGTATCTGATTATCTTCCTTCGACTAGGTTTTTTCTCGGAGGAAGCTGTAAACTACCAATCATTAATTCAATGTTTCATTTTTACAATAGATTCTGCTTTGTATAAAGATTATATATACATATATTGTCGATTCATTAGTCAGCTTTAATTTCGTGCATTTTTAGTAGTAAGGGTTCAAGATATTAAGCCAGAATCAAATTTTTATTTAAAAAGGAAATAAAAATATCTTTATTATTTTACTTTTTTTTGGTAAGTATCACAACAACTGATAGTTAGCCACATTGGAGCATATTCAGTTCTATGTTTTGGTAGAGGTTGGAGTTGGACCCTACTGCGTGTCACATGAAAGATGTAGAATTGGGAAATATTTAATATACTCCCGTTGTATCTATATCTAGCCAATAATAACATACCACCTGTAGTTATATATTTCCCTATAAGAGAAGGAAAAAAATAACTATGCCTATATATTAACGAGAATTACAATTTTATTTTAAATGAGAGTAATATTCGTTAGTCAATGCTACGAGTTTACTGAAAAGTGAAAACGCTCTAGTAGAATTGGTGTGGTGCGCACTGAGAGAGTGGATTCTCTTACCGAGTCTCGATAAAGTTACAGAGTAGGGCCGCGTGCTGTCCACGATGATGCCACGTCTACAGGGAACATTGCCACCTGTAATTCAAGCACGTTTTGTTTTAGTCGCGTTTTAAACATGCTCAATTCATCGCGTGCTGGTTTCTAAATGAGATTAAGCTGTTTAAAAAGCTATAATACCCAATTGAGAGAAAGATTCCGATAAAGCTTAGTGACGTTTGATACCAATACCTAATTTTAGTGACGTTTGAACATAAAAAAGGAAGTTATTGTGAAACTTGTGGTGATTGATTTTTTTTATTAGTTTCAATCTCTCTCTTCTTTTGTATAATCTTATTCTCCATCTAATTATTTAATCTTGCTATTATATTGTAATTGTTCAAATTGCATTCCTTAAATGCTCGCTCCTAACACGTAGGGAAATGACATCATCGGTGACGCAAATATCTTTTTGGTCTGAATTTGTCAACTTCATATCATTTGTCAAATATTAGTTAAAAAACAGGAATGTTCTATTATAAAACAATTTGAATACGTTCCATGGATAAAATGTTTAATTACTTATGGTAACGAGTGTAGATAGATTGGGTCGGATTAAGTTTAGACTTAAATAAATCAAATTTGTATAAAGTTTATACTTTAGGTCTGACCTAACCTGTTAGCTTGTACATACCCAACTTATAAATCTAGCTTAGCCTATATTTAAAAAATAAAAGTCTAGTCTAAACCTGTTAGCCTGTTTAAACTTGTTAGGCATTCAATAATTAAAATAATATTATTTTATTATTCAAAATCATTAAAATAATTATTTATTTATTTTATTTAAAATAAAAAATATGATATAGGTCAGCCTCTTGGCTTATGAATTCGATATGTAAAAGAAAATTATGGCCTGTTTTTTAAATAGGTTTTTTTCTTTGGCCTGAGCTTTTTATATTTGACTAAATATAATAGACCAAGTCGTAGGCCCATGTTAGGTCGACTGACCCATTTACATCCTTATTTATGGTAAACTACATCCATAATTTTTTTTATGGTTAAATTGTAAGAATTCATATAGTAAGGTTTTTTTTCTGTAGGTGACAGGACAAAATATTTCGGGAAGTACATAATTATAATATTAAAGTTATACTTTTTTTCACTTAAGACGTTAGTCGATAGGTTCTGAAGAGAGAAAAAAAAGTACAACTTTAATATCATAACTATATACTCGTGGAGTACATCGTTATAAGTAACTAAAATAACACAACTTTAACACTTCGGATCCAAATCCATTTTCCCATTGTTAATATAATAAATCATGATGAATCCCAAGAATGAAGGTCATGCCGAGACTAGTGTTGTGCATTACTGTTAAAATCACTTTTTGAATTAGTCTTCAACTATCGGTCAGGAGATACCTTGAGGAAATAAAAAAAACAAAGGAAGAAAATAAAAACGACTTTATAGGGGATCGGATGCTATGCATTTAATGCCATACATATATAATTTGTTCTCGCCTTTGTAACTTCTTATGGTTATTTTTTATTTTCTCAAATTGGTTTATAAACTTAAAAAATCATATAACCATCAAATATATTTTAACTTTATCCTTTAACACGTTATTTTTTTTAGTTACAATTTTATTGTAACTTTTAAATAAAAAAAGTTGGGTGAAACTAACTAAATCTATTTTATTGGACTTTTACACAAATATATATACGAGAGAAATGAAATAAATTAGGGAAAAAAACATGTACTTAAAATATTAAAAAATATTATTCATAACTCGAGATGATATAGTTAAAAGAGAATTACAGGAATAGAAAAAATAAAAGGGATAGGATATTGTGACACACAAATAATGTTACACATAATGTTACGACCACATCTTAACCGTTGATTTCCGTCAATCAACAGTTATCATTTATTGCGAATTAATAATTAATTAATGAGTTTAATTTAAAAAATGATAACGGTTGATTGACGGAAATCAACGGTTAAGATGTGATCGTAATATTGTGCGTAACATTATTTGTGTGTCACAATATCCTATCCCAAAATCCAAAATTGGGATAGGATATTGTGACACACAAATAATGTTACGACCACATCTTAACTGTTGATTTCCGTCAATCAACGGTTATCATTTATTGCGAATTAATAATTAATTAATGAGTTTGATTTGAAAAATGATAACCGTTGATTGACGGAAATCAACGGTTAAGATGTGGTCGTAACATTGTGCGTAACATTATTTGTGTGTCACAATATCCTATCCCAAAATAAAAATATAAAAAGTTATTATTCATCATCCGTTCGCCGCGTCTTAATTAGTCAATTGCATTTTCTCGTTTGGTCATGTAACAAGCTGCTGCTAATAAATAAGGAATTTAATTAAAACACAATCATTGTAACGTTACCTCCAAAAAAAATAAAAAAAATTAGTAACGTTAATTTGAACATAAAAAAGGAGGTTATTGTGAAACTTGTGTTGATTGATTTAGGGACATGACGTCTTCAGTGACGTAAATGTCTTTTGGTCTGAATTCGTCAACTTTATATCATAATAAGTTAAAAATTGGCCCATACCAAAAGAAGAAGAAGTTAAAAACAGCCATGTTCTATATGATAAACAATTCGGATATTTCCATGGATAAAATGTTAAAATATTTATGGTGTTGTTATCAAAAAAAAAAAAAAAAATTAATGGTGAATTGAATCCTTAATTTTACTATGTATAAAATGTAAGAATTTATAGAGTAAGTTTATTTATTTATTTTTAAGATGCAAATGATTGAATTTACTAAAGGTGAATTATATTTTACTTACTCAAGGTAAATTTTTGGGATTATTTGTGAAACTTTTCTTAATTACTAATATTTATGCAAACAAAATAATGAAAGGAATATGGTCCGGTCCTTAAGTTGTCTCAGTCTAGATCCATTGTGATGTTTATGCAAACACATAATGTTTGTTTAATTTTGGCCGCTAGAAAAATGTCAATGAAACATAGTATTGACCCAAATTCGCAGAAACAGCGTCCATATACCCATTGATTACGTGATTATGACAATAGATGTGCTTGAAGCTAAATTTGACGCTTTTATGACGTTTCCAGAAATAAATATTGCTCGATATTACCGGGTTACTGATGCAGCCACAATTATGCAGTGATCTTTATGATATCTTATATTATAAAGGAATTCATGAGTTATATAATTTATGAGTTTAATATTTCTTATATAATATGATATAATTTTATTTCCTTTACATACATAAATATATATGAGATATATATTTTCATTTTCTCTTTTCTCTCTCCTCTTTTAATATAGTCTCACATGGGCCCATATACTTTTGTGTATATAGAAAATAATTTTATTTTCAATAATATAAAAAAACATTAAACTCATAATTTATTGCCACGTAGTTTTCTTTTTCAATTTTTTTTTTGTAATATACCAATTTGAATGGTCATTCAATTTGTACCCTCTTTCTTAAATTAAACTTTAGGTGAACCATGTCATTAGTATTATACATATATGATCCGGATAAAATACAATAGGCTCGCCAAGGGTTAAAGCCCAAAGACTAAAGGCCAAAACAAATAAAGGCTCAAGCAATGCACGATATCCATATCGCGCGGATTGGAGGCGTGATGGCTTTACCGCTCCCAAACCGCTTTGAATGTGACTTCAACGTTAAGGAATAGGTTAATAAAACACGCATAATATTTACAAAAAAAAATAAAAATAAAACACGCATAAGAAGCCACCGCGCCACATAACAATACATAAAGGACAGCTCCAGATTGCCACCACTCTATCAAGGTAGCCTGATATAATGGGATAGGGCCAGAGCAATACCAGCTGAACCTGCAGCCCATCTACAGCCAATAAGAAGGTACACCGCCTATCAAAGACGATATCTGATTCACTATATAAGCAAAAGGTACTAACCCAGGTACATCAATCTAATTCAGTAAGAATACCACATAAGCCTGACTTTGATACTGACTTGAGCGTCAGAGTGTCATTGCAGGTACCCCCAGTCTGGATCATCGCGCCAAAGGAGAATCATACCCATCATATCATCAACAACTATCAACAGCCCAGAAAACAGACAACCTAACTCAAAGTCTTCTCACATCAAACGTGTGTGATTACGGCTGGTACATATTGGCCAGCCCATATTGTATTGGACCGATCAAGATGAAAAATTGATAGTTAAGCTTTTTAAAATAGAAAGTTAACTTTTTATAATAATATTTTGTATAGGAAAAACATTATGTAATTATCAGAATTTTACCTAAGTTTTCACTACCTATGACAGGAGTAAGACCAATATTTATA